GGCTGCTTTCAGGCTGGCGGTTGTTGACTGAAGCTCCCAACCGCTCCTTTTTTTCTCTTTATTTTATTTTATTCTGGGCCAGCTTTAGCTCTGGCTCTAGCTCTGAGGCTTCCGCTGCTGAGCGTTCTATAATCGAAACAATGTATAACTCCAGCTCTGAGATCCCGGCTGGCTGAAAGCTGGTTTCTTGGGTTTTGTTTAGCTTCTATATTTGTTCGAATGTTTCAAACTGCCAGCTCAGAGGCCGGCAAGTCAGGCGGGGAACGTTGGAGTCTGCAGTCACTGGAGCAAGCAAGCCTCATGTTTGCTTCCAGCTGCCTGACTGCCGGCCGCCATCTTGGCTGACAGTTAATTTGCATAAGGATATGCTGATTTGCCAATGGGAAGGGTAGCGGTCGTACGCTAATTACCATGTTTCTCTTTTATTAGTGTAGATAAGGATCTGTGTACTATACAGATTTACTTTACACATGTACATAGTCTTATCAAAGCTTTCAATTTTAATTTCTTAAAAAGAGATACACTAGGCAGAGCTTTGTAGTTGTTTCACTAAGAAACAGTTGTTTTCCGTAAAATATTCTACTTGCATAGAAAATACGTTGAGTGTCATTACTTTAATAACTTAAGCTTTAATTCATAGTTGAGGAGAAATAAAAATAAAATACAGAGTAGAATTTTGGGAATTAGAAATATGGCTGTGCCTTGGTAAGAATACCAGAGAGTGATTTCCTATACCCCATTCATTAGTTTGCGTAGGAAAGACTGTTTTCCTGTAAACTCTTTCTTACTTTGGGAGGCATCATAATGTAATGAATTAAAGATGAGCTTTGAAGTCAGTCAGATTCATCTGAATTCCAATTTTTGTCAATGTTGTCCATTAATTATGCAAGTTTCTCCTGGTCTTTCATCCTTGTATATCTCAATTCTTTCTTTTCCTTTTCTGCCCTGGCTATGTGTGTCTCTGTGTGTATTAAATTCTGTACAAATTCATCACCCCTGTAGGTCTGTGCATTCACCATCTCTCCAATACAAAACAGAGAAAACAAGGCAAGGATCTCTCTACGACCACATTCCAATCTCTCCTCTTCCACCGCCCCCCCCATCCCTAACCTCTGTCAATCACTAAGCTCTTCTCCACTTGTAAAATGTTGTCATTTCAAAAATCTTTATAAATGAACTCATACAGCATGTAACTTTTGAGATGTTTTTCTCACTTATCATAATTCCTTTGAGATCCAGCCAAATTTTTACTTGTATCAATAGTTTGTTTCTTTGTATAGTAAGTATAATTACATGGTATATTTGTACCATAGTGTGTTTAACCCTTCACTTATTGAAGGTCATCTGGGCTGATTATAATTTTGGGAATATTTAACATATATCTTCTATGAGCATGCATGTATAGGTATTTGTGTGAACAAAAGTTTTCATTTACCTGGAATTAAAATCAAAGAGTGAAATTACTGCATTGTATAGTAATTCCATGTTTACTTTCTAAGAAACTTCTTATTTTCTAGAGAGCTATAATATTTTAGTTTTCTACCAGCAATGTATGAGGAATTCAGTTGTTGTTGTTTTTTCAAATTCTCATCAGTATTTGGTGGGGTCACTATTTAAAAAATGAAATTATTTATATAGGTATATAGTTATACATCATTGTGGTCTTAATTTGAATTTCACTGATGGCTAATGACCATCAGCATCTTCAGCCCAGCCAGTGTTGCTCAGTGGTTTAGCGTAGACTTATGAACCAAGAGGTCATGGTTCAATTCTGGGTCAGGGCACATGCCAGGGTTGTAGGCTCGATCCCAGTAAGGGTCGTGCAGTAGGCAGCCAATCTATGAGACTCTCATCATTGATGTTTCTCTCTCTCCATCTCTTTTCATCTCTCTGAAATCAATACAAACATATATTAAAAGAACACAAAACCATATCTTCATGTGTATACTTGCCATCAGTATATTGTTGGAAGTAATATGCTTTTTTGTGTCTTTTGTCCATTTTCTAATGGGATTATAGTTTTTCCTGGTGAGTTTTGAGTCACCTTCACCTATAAAGTTTATATTTGCTAGATATAAAATTCTTAGTTGACTCCCTGCCATCCACCCGGAGCATTTTGAATAGGTCATTCCACTGTTATTCTGGCCTGTATTGCTTTTGCTGAGGAGGCAACTTATTATTATATTCTTGTTCTTCTCTACTTGATGATTGGTTTTCCTTTTCAGCTTTCAAAATATTTTAGTATCTTAGCTCTCTGCAGTGTTGCTGTAATGTATTACTCTAATGTAATGGGCAGTTGAAATTTGAACAACAATTTTTTCATCAAATTTGGGAAAACTTTTATATTTATTCAAATAGTGTGCTTGTCTTTTTTTATTTCTTCTCCTCTTTTGGGACTGTCCTTACACATACATTGATATGCTTAATTTTGTCTGATTGGTTTCTGATCCTTTGTCAATTTTTATTCAAGATCTTTTTATGTTCTTTAGATTGGATCCTTTTTATTGATCTGTTTTCATGAGCACAGTGCATTTTTTCTGTTCATTTACACATTATCACTATATGATTATATACATGTAATAGGATGTAATTTATAGTATTGTTTTATTTACTTTAAAGTATATCAAAATGTTTTACTCTTTTTAAAATGTTCATTTTCCCTTATTATATATATTTGAGATTTATATATAAACAAACTGATGTTAACTCTTGTATAGTGATGCAAAATATGAATAAAACAAATTTTATGTATTCCTATTAATGGCGATGTAAGTCTTTAATAATGTTTGGCTACTTTAATGTTGGAGGTGTCATGTTGGAGTATGCATCCTTAGTCACCTGTGAAAACTCTGGTTTAAAGTATTTTTAAAATTTGTCTTGTATTGCTAAATAGATCCCCAAATTTGGCTACTAATATATACTCCCAGCATGGAAGGGACCCTGTTCCCTATTGCCCTTCTAAAACTTTATTCCATATCTGCCTGTGTTTTTTCTAATAAATATACATTTAAGTGTATTGAATTGTTTTATATTCAGTACTAGAGGCCCAGTGCATGAATTCGTGCACAGGTGGGGTCTGGCCAGATCGGCCCTCCCCTGATCAGGGTGGAGGGGCCAATTAGGGATGGGGCCAGCTGGGGTGGGAGGGTCAGGGGAGGGGCTGGCCAGGGGGAGGAGCTGCGGGTGGTTGGCCAGCCAGCCCCGCCACCTGGTCAAACTCCTGGTCGAGAGGACAATTTGCATATTAGCCTTTTATTATATAGGATTATATAGGATAACCAACCAAAAGTGGAATGGAAAACTTCATAAAAGAGCTCAAGATGTCCAGGAGGCCACTGAGCAATATTTTCTAAGGACTGTTATATAACAGAAAAGCTATTAATTGTGTAACAAACAGAACAGTGAATACAAGTCAAGGACAACTACCTTCTATAATTACAAATATATCCTTTATCATACCAAGACTCCTGTTTATTCATCTACAAATAAATATAGAAGTACCAAATAATATTTAAGATTTATTAAGCTAAAAAATTCTATGTATCTGTGCCATTATTAGACTTATCTGTTAACTGCATTTACTCTATTTATGTTTCCTATTACTATTCAATATTGGTGAAAGAAACTGTATTCATAAGCTGAGAAAAAGGCAATTCATAACTTGTTTGAATTCTAAGGTTAAAATCACACTGCTAGATTAACTTCCCTATTCCCACTTGTGGTTAATAACTAACCTAAGTAAAAGGCCTCAGATCATATAGGACCAATACTAGTATAAGAAGATAAAGAAAAAATCTAGGCAAAAGACCAAGTGGAAAGAATAAATGTAAGATTTCCTTACTGCTGCAATTTTATTAATGCTATCAAGATTTTATATTTGCCTAGAATTCTTAGTATTCCTAGAAAAAACAATTTTCATAGTTATTCTTAAAAACAAATTAACTATTAAAATGTAATAAGATGTAAAGATGTAGATTGACTTGATAAAACATTTTTATAAATATTAATCAATTACTGTCTACAGATAGCC